AGAACGAATAAAAACAAGGAGCAGTTAGGGTTTTTACCTATTAATATATTATTATTATTATTATTATTATTAAATTATAAATAAAATCAATATTATTTTATTTTTAGTAATTGTTAACTTATATAATAGTAATTATATTCTTCATAAATGAACATAATATATAATATAAAGTGTATATATTAAAAGACATTACTAGTTATATAATACAAAATATGTGTATATATATATATTATAATTAATAATTTTATAAGTTATAATTTTTATAATGTTAACATAAAATAGAAAATAAATATGTTTATATTTAAAGTATATATATACTGAAAATATTTTAGAATATATATAATAGTAATTATATTGCATGTTTTTTATGGGTTGGGACTATGTCCTCTATCTATACATACTGCTAAATGCTTGTTATGGAGTTTCAAGGCAAGTATGATGAGTTTCAACACTTCATGTGTTGACCTAAGTTGTTGGGATTTACCTTTTGATATGTCTATTAAGTGTGCTGATTGTTTTGGCAAAATCACTTCTAGATGACACAGTACTGCTGATGTCGAGCAAGCTTTTGTTTTGTATGGGCTGGGATGTATAGATTTTAGGGAGTAACTATGTTGAACTAATTGATGTTTTGTTCAGCCTAGGGGAATGGGGATTTTGTGTTTTGTTTTTTCCTTTATTAGGTTACCAAGGTTTTTGATGGCTCTTGATGATGATGAGGGGAATTGGCAGATAAGGGAAAGCCAAGAAACCCATTCCTTTTGTATAGTTTTTTAAGTACAAGTAGCCTTAGGATGATTCAAAGATGTCATTCTCTAACCCAAGAAATAACAGAGTTGAATTTGCTTGTACGTTATTGCAAAGGGAAACGATTGCTTTTCTCTATGTTGAATACATCTTAAATTTTCAATAAAAAGTAGCCTTTACAACAGTAAATTGAAATCATGAACATCATGTACACTGCATATTGAGGTAAACCACCATTGCTATGTAACTCCCCTTCCGATCTTCATCCAAAAAGCCTTATCTGCCTGCAAATTAGAATTATGATAAATGTTGTGCGTGCATAGTTTGTTTGATAAGTCTAAAAATTATCCACTTCTGATAATTATAAGCTTATAAAAATGAAATAATTTTGTCACTAGAAATGTTTTTTTTTCTCGATCAAACTTCCATTTCATTAAAGTCAAGAAAGGAAACGTAGTTGGATCCAAAACTTAGCACATCCAACACAAAGATTCAGTTCTTGTGCCCATCAAGAAAAGGAACAAGGTATTTAGACGAAGAAAAGAAACAACTGGAAATACAACCAGTCTATACAAATAAAAAAGGAATAAAGGGATAAAGGGTTTTATTGTTTATTTACAGAATATTAAACTGAAAATTTAACACCGTTAGTCTCTGAGGGAATAGAAATAAAACACATGGTTTTATATGGAAAAAAAGAAAGCTTAGGGTGTAATGTGAAAAAGGTCATACCACAAAAGGTGTATGTGAAGTGTACCCTTGATTTAATTAATTATATGTGTTTGTCTTTAATTATATAAAATTAAAAAAATAATTAAAGTCCAAAATTATTCTAATCTCAAAAGCTTTCTTTAAGTATATATATTATAAGTTTATATAAACAATGGTATATATATTATAATTAATAATTTTATAAGTTATAATTTTTGTAATGTTAATACCAAATATAAAATAAATATAGTTATATTTAAAGTATATATATAATAGTAATTATATTCCTTTGTAATATGATATGATATTCATATTATTTCAACATAATTAATAATCTAATAATTTTTTAATTAAAATATATTAATAGAATCACATTAATGATTTGAGTAACCATAATTTTCATATATTTGTCAATTTTTAACAAAAGGAATTTCTTGCAAAGTTGCTAAAGATCTTGAGTGTTTTCTTTGTTGACCTAGTTTGAATTTAAACACTAATAAAATTGTACACCTTTAGCATTGAGAATTTGAATTTAAACACTTGTAAAATTGTACATCTTTAGCACTTAGGTATTTAGTTCATTGGTTGGTGCATGATCTCCTTCTCAAAAAAATAGTAGGATTTGAATCCTTTTTCCCTCAAATATATAAAAAGAATTGTATATTTTTAATTTAATTATTTAAATAATTAAATGATCTGAACTTATCCCAAGCTTATTTTTAGGGTATCTTAATTGTATATAATTGAGTTGGGTATCCACGAATACCCATTGCCATCCCTAGAATGGACTTATGGATGATAATTGGATGTATGTTGCTAACTTCATCCTTGATGGTCAACATGATGATTGAATATATTGGGAAGAATATAACACATGGTAAAAGAGTACCTAAATGATTGATAAGGAAACTAGAGATGAGTACTTAGGTAGAGGTAAACATTCCCACTCTTAAACTTATGATATGTTTTATACCAACAATATTAGAATATGTGAATCATGGTTCTTTGAAAAAATATGTGATGTAATTTCCACATGTCATATAAGAAAGTTTAAAGGTGTAGCAAGAGTCTACTTGTAATAAATATGTGTTGATGATAAGTTCAGATATGAGAAAATGTTTTAGATGTGTATGTTTTCCTACCATTTTCATATGGTGTGGGGTAACATTCCACACGAGTTGATTGCATATAGTATGATGAATGATGATAGCATTTCTACATGATATAAGGCATCATTCCACATTTGTCAATGCTCAATGATACGCATAGAGCAATCCCTACCATTGCGAGGCAAAATTCCACTATGTGTTGGAGATGCTCAATGTGAATGATCTGATGTTGGGATGGTGGTAAGTGTCTGCTAACTTTATTATGTAAAGTTATTTAGTCACATTTTGAGATATTAATGTAGTTAAGTTCTTGTGTTTTAAGTAGTTTTTAGATAATTTTTATATTTTTAATTGATTAGTTTAAACCATGTAAACTTAGTTTAATTTAAGTAATTCTAGTTCATTTTCATGTTGAAAGTCTTATTTTATGCCAACACTAATTTAGTCCTTGTGTTTGTAAGTTTTCATATGTATAAGGTTAAATGGTGATGAACTATGCAATGGAGACTAAGTGCAGATTTTTACCGAATATGTTGTTATAATTCAAACATAACTTAAGTTGCAGAGATTCAATTAACTTATTCTTAAACCATTGAAAAGCTGAGATGTAGACCTACAACATTCATGTTTACCATTTCTCCTATATCAACATTGAGGTAGGAGAAAATCGCATTGCAAGATGAGGTACTGTAGTAGTTTCCACCTAGGCAGCACAACGAGTAGCATTGCGGCCTTGCAAGACCCAAGGCCGTTGCGCCCAAGGGAAGGACTGCTCCCATACTAAATCCCTATAGCTCAACATTGTGGCACCCGTGGAGGAAGGCAACGGCACCAAATGGAAGACGCTGGAAAAAATTACTTAAACGTAGGGCGTCGCGGTGCCCAAAAAGGGCAGCCATGATGCCCCTACTCATTTCAATAGAATTCAACTATTTGGGATTTCATTTTTTTAAGGTTTTTTGGTGGTTATAAATAGGTATTTTCAATCATTGGAAAAACGAGAGTCATAATGGGAAACAAATGGCAGTTAGAGAGAAGAAATGGGTTCTACAAAAAGAGGAAATTAGAGGAAAATGAAGAGGATTGAAGATTGAGATCATCTGCAGCCTTGTTCTTCATTCTAGTTTTTCGTTTCTCTCTTATCTTTTTTGCTGTAGAAATGATTTGTTCTTTTGAAATTGTGATGTTTTTTGAAGAAATGATGATAAACTAAATTAGTTTTCTAAGATTATGGTTTATTTAAATATGTAGTTTGAATATATGAATTTTCTTTGCTTAATATTAATGGGTGTTATATGGTTTATTCAAATCCATGATTAATGCTTCTTTGCTTGATCACAAGTAGAAAAGACTATAAAGTTTATAATAAACCATTGATTTGAATAGCTTATGTTTGATTCATATTTAAGATAAATATATACCTAAATACCTTAGGTAGCCAAAATAGAATATAAACTTAATAAGCTTTTCATAGCCAAATTAGCCAAATTAGCTAAATTAGACATATAGAGACTCGTACATAAAATTGGTTTTTAGGTTAACTATTCACCCCATTAATATAAATTTGAAGGAAAAGATTAAGTTCAAATGAAATATTGAGAGACACCATGATCCTAGGTCTTTACAATAATAATGATGTTGGGGTTCTGAAAAACACCAATTGTGGTGAGGTTAAAAACCATATTAAGGTGAACACCAATCTTGGTAAGATTAAAAAACCCTACTAAGGTGAATAATGGTCAAAATCTCACATTGGTTGGTCAAACAAAAAATACTAAAATCTCTTACTATTCTAAAAAGAGTCTAGAGAAAATAAACACTCTTACTTACTTAAGAAAATATTTTTTATTTAATCTCAACTTAAATGTGTCTAATAATTAAGTCAAGAAGATTTTTTATAACTATTCTTAAAGAAGAGAGTCTTCTAATTTTTTCATGTGAGATTGTTTATTTTTTTATCTAAATAAATTTATATAATAATTTTACATTTAAATAGATTTTTATATTGACAGAAAGATGTCACATGACAAATTGCGTTAAAGATTGTTACATTTATAATCAATTAACATCCATTGCCTTTATTATAAATGATGTGATATGACAAAATTAAATCAAAATAATCATATATTATATAAGATATTTCTCACTCAATTAATTTTATCATGTTCCAAAAAACATAACGACTTCCATACCAACTGGCTTAGGGCATTTAAATTACAAGCTACAAAGTATATGTTTTTGATTGTAAGCCTTATCGGATTATAAGTTATAAATATAAAAATTATTTGAATATAATAAAAAATAAAAAAAAAGGTTTAGAGATGTAATTATTATTTTTAATTATAAAAAGGAAAAGAAAAGTGGAAGGAGAGAGAAGGGAGAATAAAAGTATCAATCAAAGACAAAGATCTGAAAAAGCATCGTAAGTATAGTATACAATCTTCCCCCACTTGGGTTGCGTGAGTTGTTCCCACTCAGCTGTCCCACTCTTCTCTTCTTCTGTGTCTATCCCCACCCAAGCCCTCCCAATCTCACTCTCACTTTCTCCATCTTCCTTTCCCTCCCATTCTTTTTAATCCAAAAAATGCCAATCAACAGAGACCCTTCTACCCTCCGCCCATGATCGCAAGATCGGCCCCTACACTGTCTTCGTTACCCCGCCTTCTACACCTACGCCCACTGCACCACCTGTCTTTGAATCTCCGAAGAAGGTGGCCGCGCCTCCTCTTGCTGCTGCTCCTCCTCCCCCTGTCAGCCGCCGCCCCACAGTTTGCTAAGTCTTTTGTTGCTTCCGCTTCTGATGGCCCTTCTGGGTTTCTTCAAAAATGCTGCCTCTAAAGTGCAAAACGGTATCTTCTTCTTTATCTTCACTTTTTTATATTTAGAAAAAGAACTTTTGGGGTTAATTAGAATTCATGTGTGTCTGTCTTTTTTCTTTTTGACGTTTGAAAAAAAGAAATGAAACGGGTTTATTAATCAAAGCTTTACATTAGCATGGCGGATCAGCTACACTTTAATTGTCTTCATAGTTTGCATTTTCTCGACAATAAACAGAAACGTATTTTTACTTTTTTTTTTGTTTTGTTTTGCAGCTCATTCAAGCTTGGATACCATTTAGCTCGCTGGTTTGGCTTAAATCAGTCCAAGTATCAGTGGGCATTGGATGATTATTATGAGAGCAAGGGATTGGTAAGCGTAAATAAATTCGTTTAATGGTATATCTTCAACGGAAAGTTAAGTTTCTAAGTCATAACTTTTAGCTCCTTTAGTTTGGAATTGTTGCTAAGTTTGGTGAAAAAAAAGTATTGCACTAGGGGTACTTGGGAAGTAGCTTCTAAGCAATCACTGTTCTTTTGTTATAAGCGATGATATATCCTTATCATATCAATCACATTATTTGACCCTAAAAAGTTGGACTTTTTTATGCTTTAATTTGTTTTGGTGTCTCTAAATATTGTATAAAGTTGGTTGCTTGATCTTAGTCAAGGGAGCCTGGTGTCCTGCTTTCATTCCTTTTGGATTTTATAGACATGCGATGTATGAAATGAAGGCTGCATATGGCTTTTAGTATTTCAGAAAGGAAAAAACAATTTAGCATCTTTAGATCTTTTAGAGGAAATGGTGCTACAACGAGTAGAAAGGAGGTCAAGGGATTTTTGTTTTCCAGATGGAGAGAGGGAGGGGCTTACTGATCTCTAAAATAGATCTTATACATCTAAAACCTTTCAAGTATTAGTGTGTACCTAACTCTTGGGGTCATAGATCTAGTTAGGTTGTTCTTGACACTAAAGAAAAACATTTAAAACTTGATTCTTAGCTTAGCATTGTAGTCACTAATCACTAGTGATTAATATCTAGAATCGGTTTGGAAGACTCTAGAATATTATAAAAGAAGATTTCCTGAACATGAAATTATGCTTTGAGGATGCATTATGGATAATAAGATCTGGTCACTTTATTAAGTGAAATTATAGTAACATTTGTCTAGAATCCTTCATATTTTTGTTTAACTGGTGAGGAAGACTGGCATGATGCAGTAGGTATTGCCATAGAGTTGGAATTACTTTATGAAGGCTAGACAGTGGTGTATGATCTTTCATGAGAGTTAGGGTTTCAACTTGAAGCAAAGTGTTTTGGTTAGAGGTGGCAGAATGAACTCGAATCTGAACTTGATCAGACCTGAGGTGACCAAAAAGTCAACAAACAAACTCAAGTCCAATCCGAACCAAACCAATAATAGCTTGAACTTAATACTAAGATTTAAGATGATTGAATTTGTAATTAAATGATATTTTACAAAATGCGAAATTTAAATGCCAATTTTATTTCAACTTGAACCCGAACCTGATCTGAACTCGAGACAACCCGGTCCAAAATGACCAGAGTTGAAAAGGCCCCGAACTTGGAACGACCCAAAACTATTGTGACCTGAACCCAAAAGAGTCCAACCTGAACCTGCACATTTACCACCTGTCGTTTTAGTTACTTACCCCCAAATAAAACATTAAGTATTCTTGCTGCTTGAAACCACAAGCTTTTGGAAAATGCAAAGAATCCATTTTTATTTAGCTCTTTGTGGAGTTGGATGTCTAGAGCTTTTGCAACTTGTGCATGTAGGATTTTGATGTTCCATCTCTGTTTCTCTCTTCAGTTCCTTTTTTATTTGAAACCCAGGGCAAAGTCCCTAATATCCCCTGCCACTTGTCCTCTTGAAGCTTATCTTGACCTAAAACCCACAAAATATCACCTAATTTTGCTGAATTTATTAGCTACTTCTAGGTCCTGTTTCGTATTGCGGAAGTTAAGAACTTTGCCAGGAATTTAATTGAATGTAATGACCTTACCACATTGGGTATGGTACTTTGATGGGAAGGTTACTTTCCCAACATAATGACATTGCTGGCCCAAGAGGGAATGTGATTCCCTCTTGAGCTGGAGGGAAAGTGAGCTTCCCATGGAAGAGGGAAAGTCAAGAGAACTGGTTGGACAAACACACCCCTCTCAAGCTGAAAATCCATAATGATTTTTATTATTAGTGTGATAATTCTAGGCATTATTATAAAAATTATTATAAAATAAACATTTAGTAATTTCATAGTTTAATATTTAAATAATTAGTATTCAATATTATTTTATTTTTGTCATGTTATTTTTATTATTTTAAGAGAGTTTGAAAAATTAAAAATTTACATTAAAAAAATATAAGTTTATTCACCTTTATATTTTCATATATAACGGTAATTTTGTAAATTAACACTACATTCCAAATAAAGTACTTATAAACCAAACATTACTATTTAATCTTCCCAATAATTATATGCAATCATCACATTACCATGTATACCTAACGCTGTAATGCTATCTTCCCAGCAATCACATACCTAGTAATCACATTACCAACAAAGTACCAAATGCCACCTTAGTTCAAAGTCATGTGCATGGTTTGTTCACCAAGGTTATTCACGGCATTGAAGAGCTGTTCTTATCTTTCAGACCATGTTAATGATGGAATTTCCAAAAATTACTTGTAGCTTGATGATCTACTGGTTGTTTTGGCTTCGCAGCAAGATATGTCTGGCTAGTAAACATGCTCTAAGGAATGAATGTTTTCACTATTCAGGATTGGAATTTATTGGGTGTCTTTTGTAGGATATTAAAGCTTGGAAAAGTAATTTTGGCATAAAATAGTTGGGAACTGTTTCAGAAACTGACTTGAATTACATCTTGAGGTTGCCTTTTGGTAAATGCTTCTGTGGCTTGTGGTTAGGGCTATTTTACTCATGTGGACCACCTGGTTGATGTTCAAGCTTATTTGTATCTAGTAAGGATCTAGCTGGTATTATCTACTAGATGTAAAAGGCTGATATCAAGAGTATGTTAAAAAATCTCCTTTTTTTATCACAAGATAGTCCAAAGTATTTTAAACATTATAGGTATGCCAAAGTTACTAATTAAGCTGTCGATTGTGAGGAGAGATTACAATGCTATTGCGATTTCTTTTTGGGATCTGGAATGAACTATTATAGTTTCTTTTTGGAACCTGGAGCTTCATCCTTAACCCTAAATGTGAGAGGCTGTAGTTTCACTTTCACTTTGAATTTTGCCAAAGGAACTAAACAAATTTGTGTTTCAAAAATGGCATAATGATAAGATTTTTGCTTTTCACTGAATTATGGTATGGCAAGGGAGCATTTATAACATTTTAAAGCTTCTTTAGCTAATTGATATTTGGTCTCAATTGTAGTAAACTTGGACTTTTTTATTGGAATAACCAGGTAAAGAGGGAATTAAAATTAGAGAAAACGGAGGGAGGAGAAGCATGTGGTTTGATTCACTATGTATAAATATGCAGACTGGTCTTCCTGTACTTTAGATACTTTTATATACTAGAATATTTTTCTTGATAATGTAGAAAAGTTTGAATCTATGCCGTGGTTGCCACATTTCATCTTGTTTTTGGGAAGTGCTTCTCAGATTGTTTTATGATGTTACGTGGTCAATTTTGCTGGGGAGTTAAACCAAACCTTAAGCTTATGGAGAGCACGCTAACTGTACATACATGTTGGATGCCACTTGCATCCAAAAGCCTAAGCTACTTGGGTCCTCTGTGTATATATCCCACTTTGGCATCCCACCTGTAAGTGATGTGAGATATCATACTCACATGTGAGCCTCAACAAATCTTCCCTATTCACTTGTGAGTTGTGATCAGCTTAGCTGTGTGAGCAAACTGTGCTATTTTTCTCAACTACCCATGTACCCCTTATATCAGCACTCAACTTTTACACATCTCCTTGTGTCAAGGTGGTCCCAATTGCACCACCTTCGCATTGTTTCTTAGCTCCCCACGCACCTTAGGGCAACACTCAACCACACATCTCTTGTGCATCCAGGTTATCTTGGTGCATCACCTTTTTGGGTTTCAAAAATACTGCATCAACATACTTGTCAGCTGTTGCACCGAGTTACACCTGAAGCACGAAAACCAATTTGATGGGGAAATAAGCCAAACCTTGAGTCTATGGGGATCACACCAAAGGGGATGCATATACACGTTGGACACTACTTGAACCCAAAAATCTAAGCAATATGGGTTTTTGGGTCTTCCATGTGTATATGTCCTTTTTTTTGCATCCCACTTTTAAGCAATATGGGACATCACATTGACATGTGAACCTCAAAACTTTTTTTTTTTTTTTTTTTTTTTTGCTCAGCAACCTCAACACTACTTAATGTCTGAAGATGATTAAGCCTTTTGAACTGCTTTGCCTTCCGTTATACTAGAGACGCACACTGTGGGAGTAACATTGATGTTGTGATATGTGAGACTGTTCATATAATTGTTTTTGCTATTTTAAGTTTACGTGTGATTTTCATCGCTACTACTTGATGCCTGTGACATCGATTCAATTAAACATTTTCAAATTTTTTTGTTGCAGGAAAAGGATGGTGTAAAAGTGAAAGAAATGTCAAGCAAAATGCAGAGTGTGTAGCATACTTCTTGGGTTGGTAATGAGATATTTGAAGTCCCCTCTTTTTCTTTTTCTATTGTTTTGCTTTTCGAAGTCATTTATATATATGTAGGGAGATGTTCTAATCACAGTGGATGTTTCTGTTGTGCAGAACTTGCACCAAGTGAGGATGCTTGTTGTGTCTCCTTTTTGTATTATATCTATATACATAATGTATGGAATGGCCAAAAAGACATTTGGATTCTTGAAGAGAACTCTGTTGACTTCTGGGGATCAGATCAGATCGTATGTGCTTCTCTACCTACTGGAGCAGCTAACTGAGGTTGTTTGTGTACTAGGCTAGGAGTTGCTAGGGCTTGTGTAATCTCCTTACAATGTCAATTTCTAGTATTGAGATTACTATCAAATGTTCAGGACATACTGTTTATGTATTGTATTTTTATTTTATTAAAAGCATTATTTTGTAGCAATCATATCTCATTCTTGCGTTTTCTCTGCCCCCTCTCGTTCGTATATGTGCATGAACCCTCCGAGATAAATGAGACGCTTATATCATAGTTTCATTTTGTTGGCCAAGATTGCCAGCTATTGGATGGTTTAAGATCAACAAATGTACACTTCTATTGGGGTCGCAATGGCTCTTGTTCAGTTTCTTGGTTTTCCAGGTTTTAATTTTTGCAAAAAGGCTGCATATTGTGTATGACCATGTGAAGATGAAAGCAGTGAAATTCTTACACATCTACTAAGGCTGACCTTAAATCATGAGAAGCCGTACAAAAAGAAGGTACCAGAATATTATTCTGATTTTGCTTCCATCAGTTTCTGTGAGGTTCATTAGACTGGATTATTGTCAGAGATTGTACCTAAAAATGATTTTCAGAGAAACTACATAAGCATGTGTTCACATGGCGACTTCCTTTTAAATGAACTCCTTAGCCCTTCCAAATGTATCCTACTTTTTTCTGCAATTCTTAATATAGTTTGATCTCCTGTGTTACCGGATAAAGGAGAAACAAGAATAATACATCACCAAATTTATGTCTGCCCGATGATGAGCAGATAACCATTAACAGTCACATTTTATGTAAGGTATTTCATTCCTCTCCTCCATCCTCAAAATGAAATGTTCCATGTCTTTGTTACCTACCTCTTGAAAAAGAAAGAGTTTTAAGAATTGCTGAGACAATTTCCTCCCCCGGATGTAGTTTCACTTTTCCGAAAATGCGAGGATTATATCTTGCTGAGGTTACTCTCGAGCATGCAAAGATGTTCTGAGAGGATGAAAGCTACACATGACTCTAATCCTCAAAACTTCAGGTTCAAGACTCCAGAATTAGACAAGAATCTGGAATCTGGATGAGATGGATGCAGAACCCCACCAGAATCTCTTCCCAGCAGCTTAGGATAGCTTCCATTTCCTCGATGCAGCTGGTTTTGGGTGATTTATTGAGTCTTCTCTAGTGGCTTTGTTAGATTAATAAGCTCAATATAAATAAGTTCAAGAAGGGGATGAATTGGATTGTTTATAAAATTTCAAAAAACCTTTTAATTTTAAGAAGATAAAATCTCTTTTTTAATTCAAATGTTCAATTTTAAGATAAACAAATTAATTGACATCTTGATCAATGGAAGAAATTTAAACTTCAAGTAAAAAGAAAAATAGAAATATCGACGCAAGTGTTTTATAGAGGTTCGACCTCCTTACCTATGTCTTCTCTCTTGGGTTCATTGTGAAGTTTAAAATTTACTATTTGATCAAAATTCAATACAATGCTTTTTGTGGATCAAGAATAACCATTCAATACAATATTTTTCTATGGTTAAAATGCAGCCACTTTACCTTTTTATTGGTTAAGGTATAACCACTTAAGCAAGTACAATGAGAGAAATATAAGTGCAGCAAATATGCCTTTTAAAGGTTGAATAGAAAATTTGATATAGTGTTTAAATGAAAAGATGAGAGCTTAACATATGCTTGACCAGAAGACTTTTAAAATTTAAGAAAAGTACAATGGGTTTTGAATGAATTTTGACTAATTCTTCTCTCTTGAGCTGTGTTTTTAAGTCTTCTAATTTTCATAAATGTTGATGAAGCTTGTATTTATAGTTGCTAAAGCTTCAAGGGTAGTTGGGAGTGCATATATTATGAAAATAACCATTCTTCTCTTCATTCAAGGCTCCAATGGTCATATTGTATCGATTCATATATAAGAGATTTTTTTTTTTTTAGGAAACAGCTAAAAGAATTTAGGATATGTTAAAGGCACTGTTGATTTTGGAATTAAATTTAACAAAGAGTAAAGCCAAGTTTTTCAAGGGTATGCCGATAGTGATTGGGTAGGGAGTTAAGATTTTAAAAGCACATATGGTTTTGTTTTCTCTCTTAGCAGTGGAGTTTTCTCATGGAACTTAAGAAAAAAAGTAGTTGCTCAATCATCTGTAGAAGCTAAGTATATCTCAGCAGCTTCAACAACAAACGATGCCCTCTGGTTGAGGAAAATATTAACTGATTTGGGATTTCCTCAAACTAATCCGACCACTTAATGGGTTGACAACCAGTCAACTGTTGCTAATGCAAAAAACCCTGGACATCATGGAAGAACAAAACACAACCTGGTTAAGTTTCTCATGATCCATGATGCTATGAAAAATAAGGAAATCAGATTGCAGCACTACAGCTCAAACAACCAGTTGGCAGACATTATGATCCAAGGATTGCCAACCAATAAATTTCTAGAGTTAAGATCACTCTTAGGTATCTTCAAAACTGATTTTAAGGAGGTGTGTTAGAACTTTGAGAACATATTGAAAATATTTTTAGAGGTAAAACAGGTCCTTGAAAGTGATGTACATGACAGATGATAAAAAAAATACAACTATATATGTCTGCAGCAGACCTAGTAAAATGATATAGCTTTTCCTTCTGTGTAAGAACCATGCGGCTCTCATATCTTAAGAACAACTCTAGGTAGATTAAGTTGTAATCCCTCTACGTAATGATGATGGTTGTATCTATATATATTGTAATCTAATTTTGAAATGAATAAGCCTCCCCCCCCACAACCCCCCCTATTATTTAAAAAGAAATATTAGAAAACCATTATTTTGATCAATATAATATTCACTTGCTACGTGTTCTTTCATTCAAAAACTCTATCAGACCCGAATAATGTTTTTTGCATTTATCTTTGTCAAATGGTCCAATAAATGCTTCATTTCATGGCCGGCCTTGTTATATTTTTATAGGTTGGCTGAACGACTGCACATGGAGTTCATCTAGACTCCTGAATAGAAGAAGACGTTACACTAGAATAGGAATAACTGGTAAGAGCATGAAATAAGATATTGTAAACGATTGCACATTGCTCCACATCCTGAGTTACAGACAAATTTTGAGTAAGTTTTGACCTTGTTTCTTCCGTTGCAATATTATATATTCATTCATTTTCTCCATAAATTGTTGGTAAATACTTCTACTTCTGAAATCTAAGATATTGTAATTGCATCTGCTTAATTGTGCCTTCTCCTGCCATCATCAATGTCATCAAGCCCAGGAATTGTAACTACAGGTAAGGTTTTCTCCAGTGTTTCTGTGTTCTTTGGTTTTGTTTTCTTCATAATCATCCATGCCAAAGTAACTAATAAATTATAGGTTTGTAATGATTTCCTACGCTTTGCAGTAATCATCATCATCACGATTCTTGTCATAATGGCCGTTATCTGTTTAAGTAGAAGAGCTGAAGCTCTTAGGAAAAATGTTCACCTCCCCCAATTTTTGACACTAACCATGGATAAATTCCTCAATGACATGGAAAAGGAGAAACCAATCAGATTTACATCCCAGCAACTAAGGATTGCAACTGATAATTTTACCAATCTGCTGGGTTCAGGGGGTTTTGGAGCTGTGTGTAAGGGAGTTTTCAATAATGAAACCATCGTAGCTGTTAAAGTTTTATATAGAAGCTCCGATAAAAAAATCGAGCAACAATTCATGGCAGAAGTGAGTACAATAGGTAGAGTTCATCATTTTAATCTTGTTCGACTCTACGGCTTCTGCTTTGATTGGAACCTGAGGGCCCTCGTTTACGAGTACATGACAAACGGCTCACTTGACAAGTTTTTATTTAGTGAAGAAAAGATATCAGGATTTCAAAAACTTCATGAGATTGCAATAGGCACGGCAAAAGGGATCACTTACTTACATGAGGAGTGCCAGCAGCGAATTATTCACTACGACATAAAGCCTGGAAACATTCTCCTAGATGCACAGTTCTCTCCTAAAGTAGCTGATTTAGGTTTGGCCAAGCTCTACAACAGGGAAATACTCATATAACCATGACAGGTGGCAGAGGTACACCAGGATATGCAGCACCAGAACTTTGGATGCCTTATCCTATAACCCATAAGTGTGATGTTTATAGCTTTGGAATGCTACTATTTGAGATCATAGGTAGGAGAAGGAACCTTGACATTCAACTCCCAGAGAGCCAAGAGTGGTTTCCAAGATGGGTGTGGAAAAATATTGAGAATGGAGATTTAGGGGAGTTGATGAAAGTCTGCGAGATTGATGACATATGCAGAGAGACAGCCGAGAGAATGGTCAAAACCGCTCTGTGGTGTGTCCAGTATAGACCTGAGCAGAGGCCATTGATGAGCATGGTGGTTAAAATGTTGGAAGGAGCAATGAAAATCCCTGCACCTTCCAATCCATTTGCGCATTTGCTTGTGGAGACTCAAATTCCTAGTATTCTTGCCCTTACAACATGGACTGAAAACCCTGTTGATTCAGAATCTTCTTCAGTGGTAACAGAATCAACGTTAGTACGCACAACTCCTACCATGAAAAAGTATGAGATTGAAGTGGCTAGCAGTTCCACTTAGTACATTAAAATGTAAATACATCCCCCTCTGTCATTCCCTTCAGTGTTTCGTGTCTTTGCCTGCTGATGCAAATTATCTACTTCTACAATATATTAAAAGATATTTATTAACGGTTTTTCATAGATTTAGTGAAATTAGCAACCAAAAGTTATTGTATTAATTATGAGAAAAAGAAAGAAATTGGCTCATTGAAGTGTCAAACAAAAGAGCTGCAATATGCATGTAGCGTTTGCTCTTTTACATATCAACGAGACACCTAACTCTAGAGGACCTATTTCCAACACTTAGTGGTAGGAATTGACCGCTACGGTAGCAGGATTCACACACAGTTTCACCCCAACAACAATTATAATGGTGAATAAATCCCCTGCCATTTGTCAACACTTATAGATTAATATTAAAGCTTGTTAGAGAACCATAAGGATGACTTGGCTCGAACCTTCCTGAAATAACCAGGCAATTCTTTGCTTCTCCTCCCTCCCCCTCCCCTCCTTGTCTTTATCCCGTATGTAATTTGTGTGTACATTAATATCAATCCGTTTCCACTGATACTACTAAAATAAATAATAGCCTATTGTTTAAGTGTGCATAGTTTTCAAAAGTCACAATTAACACATAGTACACGACTAATATTGCATCTATTTTCTGAAGATAGTCATGATTCAGGTAGCAAAGTCAAATAGGTTAAGAATAAGAATGTTTGGGTGATGTTATGGTCATATGGTCCTCTCTCTCTCTCTCTCTCTCTCTCTCTCTATATATATATATATATATATATATCTCTGCCGGCCATAGGTTTTTAATCATTAGGCGATGTGCCCCACTCGGAGTTGCACTACAATAACAAGTATATTCCTGGAATTATCGGTCCCATCATGGAATGGCTGTCTGCATTGCTTTGCATCCTGAAATTTCTCAGAAATTATGCAACATCAAATATTCTCTCTTCTGTTCTTGCACATTAGCGATTTTACATAATCTGTTTCCCAAATTGTTAATCAACATCTTTATTCGACATGACATCTAAAATTGTGTAAATCAAATCTACTTTTGCTGTACTTCTATTACTTCTATCTATTTCTTAATGTCAAGTCCAAGCACAGGTGCTGCAGGCGTTGAAACAGCTGCTATTATTGCGACTGTAGGTAAGCTTTTACCTCTGGTGTATTTCCTTTGGTTTTGTTATTGATTTTTGGTTTCATGTAAAATAAAAGTTACAAGTGATGATTATGTATTGTAACTGATTTCTTACACTTCTGCAGTGGTCCTTGTTATAAAGGCAATTATCATAGCATATGTATGCAGTAAAAGAGCTCGAATAAAGAGCAGCGATGTTTGCCCAGACTCAAAATTTTTAACATTAACCATGCATAAATTCCTCAATCTCATGGAAAGAGAGAAGCCAATCAGATTCACCACTCAGCAGCTAAGGATTGCAACTGATAATTTCACCAACTTGCTAGGTTCAGGTGGCTTTGGAGCAGTTTACAAAGGGATTTTTAGTAATGGAACCATTGTGGCTGTGAAGGTTTTGCATGGAACTTCTGATAAAAAAATTGAGGAGCAGTTCATGGCAGAAGTGAGTACAATTGGAACAGTTCACCATTTTAATCTGGTTCGACTTTATGGTTTCTGTTTTGAGAGGAATTTAAAAGCTCTTGTTTATGAGTTCATGACAAATGGTTCGCTAGACAAGTTTTTATTCAGTGAAGACAAGAAATTGGGATTTGAAAAGCTTCATGAGATAGCAGTAGGCACAGCGAAAGGGATTGCTTACTTACATGAAGAATGCCAACAGCGAATTATTCACTACGACATAAAGCCTGGAAACATTCTCTTAGATGCAAAGTACTTTCCTAAAGTAGCTGATTTCGGTTTGGCAAAGCTTTGCAACAGAGAAAAAACTCATGTAACCATGACAGGAGGAAGGGGTACTCCTGGATATGCAGCACCAGAACTTTGGATGCCATATCCTATAACCCATAAATGTGATGTTTACAGCTTTGGGATGCTATTGTTTGAAATCATAGGTAAGAGAAGGAACCTTGATAGAACTCTTCCTGAAAGCCAAGAGTGGTTTCCAAGATGGGCGTGGAAAAAGATTGAGCATGGAAATCTCGTTGAGTTGATGATAGTCTGCGGAATTGAGAAAAAGGATAGAGATATGGCGGAGAGAATGACCAAAACAGCTTTGTGGTGTGTTCAATACAGGCCGGAGTCAAGGCCTTTGATGAGTATTGTGGTGAAAATGTTGGAAGGAGCATTGGAGATTCCTGCACCTTCAAATCCTTTTGCCTATCTTTGGATGGAGCCTTCTGAACCTAATAACAATATTCCTAGGCACACAATATGGACCGGTAGCTCTTGTGATTCAGAATCCTCTTCAGTAGTGACCAGGTCTAGTTTAGAATGTGCAACTCCTATCATGAGAAAATATGGAATAGAAATGGCCTCCACCTAGTTAAGACTGTACCCACCTTTCTTTCAAATCCTTGAGGATTATGTGATTATGCTGTAGGCTCAATCCATTGATCATAAATTATCTGCTTCCAAAATTATAATGAAAGTCAAGTCACACTCATGTATACAATAACTCGGTTTCGCTATTTGTATCTGTTGAGGAAGGAGCATAACAGTTTCGTATAAAAGAAAAGAGAGTAAAACAGAAAATGGTGGAATAGCACTCTAATACTTATTGTCATTCTTCATTCATCATTTTTGCAACCAAAATAATGAACCTTTTCAGTAGTTTGATGGCTGGGAATAACACTTGTCATTCTTATTCTTATAAATTTGATAGCAAGGAAAGGCATTTAGATAATTTGCATACATCATAGAGTAGTTTTTTATACATTTTTTCTGATGCTTTAGAACATAAATTGCAATAAGTTTCCATTTTAATGTTTTTTTTTTTTAAATGTAGTTTGATCCCACACAAATAAATTCATTTTTTAGTATTTGTGACTTTGAGTTACATAATAAATAGTCATTTTTTGTCCTTTAACGTATTTTGTAATTGAGTCCGTTGACCGTTAATGCATCAATTGAGTCAACTGACCGTTAATAGATTTTGTAATTGAGTCAGGCGATCGTTAATGTTTCAATTGAGTCAACTGACTGTTAATGGATTTGAGAAATATCACCAATAGCATTTTAAGCAGTATTGTATTTTGTAATTGTATAATTTTTTATACCTAGTAAAGTCTTTTAACAAATAAGTTAGAGACTTAAAATGATATATGGGTCAGTGATATTAACAAAGTTGCTTTTTTAAAATAATGAGGGTTAATGTATATTGATACTGATAAGTGTAATTTATTTTGTGAACAAAAGATATTCGCAGTATATGTATATAAAGTTGTGATGGTATCTTACCACCAATCCAAGGTGGTATGATAACAATAACAAAAGCATCAAATGAAGTTGGTAGATGGATGACAGTTGCTCTATGAACTCTCAAATTGATTCCGTCTTTGCATTTGCATTACTTAAAAAAATAATTCCACGATCAAATTTCCCTCCCCCGACTTAATTATAAAAGATAACTATTTTTTTTTATATTTTTCAATATTTATGATTTGTAACATGATGGTCAATGAAACAATCCATTGTGTTTTTAGTTCTCATGCAATTATCTTTATTATTTTATTTATTTATACTTTTATATCTTTTTATTTTATATACATATATATATCATTGTCGTTATCATTACTCAAAAATACCAATAGTGACATGCATATTCTTAACAATTTTTATTAAGTTAATTATTTTATTCTTAATTAATGATTTCCTTATTATTATCATATGAGAATACTTATTAACTTTTATTTCTTTCTTTATTAATATTGAAATCGTTGTTAAAGTAAAGTTTACTTAATTGATGATTTTCTTAGTAAATTAAATATTGAGTAATATTTATTTATCGATTTTTTTATAAACCTTGAACTCTTTAAAATTTATATTTAGTTATATCCAAAACTAAAATCGTTTATTTTATTGAATCATTAAAGAGTTTAAATAATTGTGAAATTTACATGGTTAGTGAGTTTCAATAACTTTGACTTTAGACTAAGGAAACATGTTCGTTGCAAATATATATATATATATATATGTAAATAGAGGTTTCTTGATTAGTAGATGATATTTTCTACACAGTGGATAGCGTAGGAGACAAGGTGTAAACTGATTTGCTTTCAAAAAATTAAAAATGTGTAAATCGATTTGTGTATTTGTCTTTTTATTTTTTATTTAATTAAATTCATATTATACCTCGATACTTATAATTTATGTTGTTTATAGTTAAAAGTAACATATAAGAGTTATAATTTTTATAAAACCGACCAAAACATAAAATTTTACAACGAAAGCCTATAAGTTAAAGTATATTTTCTTTAGTTTTGATATATTATTATTATATTCACTAATAATAATACTTTCACTATTTGAATTGTTTATTTAAATAGTAATAATAATAAGTAACAATCAATAAATATTTTTATATTAATGCAATAAAAATAATAAAAGTAGAACATTGTTATCTTAAATAAATTAATTAAATGTAACTTTTCAAGTTTTGGTATATTGCTAATGCAACCAATATTTTGCTTCAAACATGATGTGAACAAGTACTTCGACTTCATATTGAATATTTACAAATTTCATTTGAAAGATAATGAAAATCCAAACAATGATCTTAATTTAATGTTCCATACCTAAGGTCATAATATTGAGTTTTAATTATTTAATTCTTATCAAAACGAATCATTTGATTATTGGAAAAATTATTATAAAAACAATAATCAAACCTAATCGGAAGAGACCCAATACATTAAATACATCTAATGTGAACTAACATCACTTGATATATTCCAATTGAATTAGATAAAAGAATTGTTGTTTTCATCCATTTTCTCCTTTTGCGAATGTTTTTTTGTTCTATGGTTTAATGTTCTTTTGCTATTAACTTTGAATTATTTCTTTTCTCTTTTTTTTTTCTTGCT